CTCCCTCCCTCCCTCCCTCCCTCACTTCCTCTACTCCTTGCCCCTCAAATCCTTTATATCTTTACTCACTGTTTTTCATTTCCTTTTATTACTATAAGTGTTCCTCAAGTTGCGGCGAAGGAAGAAAGAGTCGAACTGTCGTCTGTAAACAAAACCTTGCCAATGGTACAGTCATTACACTACCTCATTCAAGTTGTGACGGGATGGTGCCTGCTAAAGCTGTAAAATGCAAGAAACCTGAGTGCAGTAAGTCATGTAATAAGAGAAATAGAGTAGATTTTATGCCACTGAGAAAAACCACCTCGCATGGCATTGTCACAGAATTGACCAATCACGGCGTGGTATTTTCGTACCTCGACATACGAATTTTACTCATGGATTTTATCCATATGTCTCGCGTTGTATGAGGTTCACTTTTGTAGAGTTCACTTTTGCGAACTGAGGCATTTTAACTGCTTGTTGTGAAACTGGTTTGCCACTGTTGCCAGCTATAGATATAAAAGACTTGGTACCGAATGATTATTTTTGATTGATGATTGCGAAAAATCGAATTCAGCGTGCAACCCGCAATACCGCGTTCGCAGAGTATCGAAAACCGCAGTAAAGGCGTATCTGTTATTCTTAACTGTATTTCATTTGCTTCCACAGTGCAAGAATCGCCAGGAGGATGGCATGGTAATTCATATTCTATAAATATCTTCAAATAATAATGAGATAACTAGCTAAAACCTAGTGTGAGCTAGTAAAATGGGGATTTTACCATCTCTTTCTCTTTTACTCCGACGACGGACTAGCGTCCGAAACGTCAGTAAGTTTTTTCATCTTTTCACGGTGTATAATTTACCCTTTTATCATTACTGTTTCAAATAATAATGTTTGCGCGCGCGCTAATTTAACCTATACGAAATTGACAATTTCCAAAAGCATGACAGTTACTTTGCAAGTAAATAGTGTCTACTGGGTATCGGTCCCCGCCTTTAAGAAATATTGTGATGACATTTCCACTATGACTTTGTTTTTTTTCTTTTTAGATATTCAAGGGGAAGAGTCGTTTGACCAAGAAGAAGACGACGATGGTAAGCTGACGCAAAATATAATGAAAATCATTAGATCAGGGACAATAACCGCATCAAAATTGTCGTCAAGAATCCCTCGGCAGATGGCGATTTGTTTTTCGCTACTAGCGGGCTCGCACAAAAGACCTATCAGTCTATTCAATCGGAACGCATCACGCATCATGCTCCTCCTAACACTACTAAAATGTTCTACCAATCCTGCCTGCTTTATAATTGCSCACGACACGCGCGCGCGTTTTCTATTTCTTTTGATGAAATAACTGTTCTAAATCTCGCGTCCTGATTGGTTGGGAGCGCGTGCTTTATGAGAGCGCACAGCATGCGCGCGCCCTTTCAGCTGCGTCATTTCTATCCAAGAAAAACGGTTATCAAATTTTTGTATTTTATAAAAGAAATGAAAAACTTGCTTGCTGTGCTGTGTGCAGATATAAAGCACTTGGAGATTGGCAGAGCACTCTCACACTTCTCTCGTGTTCTGCCAATTCCCGCGTGCTTTATAACTACACACAGCACGCGCGCGCGTTTCTTGTTTCTTCAGTTATAGATGAGTCAAAACGTACGAATTTTTTTCCTTTTTGAATCCTAGCTTCTGACGCATCTGCTGCTGGTTCGGGCGGTGGCGGAGGAGGAACAAAAGTTGGTAAAGGTAAGCTGCACGAAATTAGGTAAATCTATGTCAATGAATGGTAATGAATGGAAGTTGACTGACCTCTTAACTCCGGGTCCCTGGTTCAATTCCTCATGCACCACATGGGAGTAGTAGAGTTTGTTAGGTCTCTTCCCTGAATTTAATTTTTTTCGGGTTCTCCGACTTTCCTGCTTTCACAAGAACTGCACGCTAAATTCCAATTGAATCTTTCGATCAGCCCAGAGGTTGTTTCAGGGTTCGATCTGTGATTTAGCCATGCCCTGACTTAGATCAGCCCAGAGGTGGTTTCAGGGTAACGCCTTAAAATTATGAATAGAGGTAGATTGTGAATAGTTGATCCTTTCTAGCTTATCATCATTAATCTAGGTTTTTTTAAAGTATTCAATGTTTTTACAGATCCTCCGATCATTAAAGTAAGCACAAAACCAAAATACATCCTCGGGAAGAAAACGTCCCTTTCTGTTCTCGTTGGTACTAAAGTTTGGGCCGTCAAGGGCTCTGAAATAATAGTGTCATGCACAGCAACGGGGAAGTTTCCCTCAACGATCACATGGTCAAGAGATGGCTTCGAGATCACTAGCTACTTCGAATATGATGTCGGTATTGTCAATGGTAATTTGAAGATTCGCGAGGTTGGTAGATTCAATGAAGGAACGTATGTTTGTGAGGCGAAGAGTCAAGGTGGAACTGCAAGAGCTACATTTGCTCTTACGGTTTTAGGTAAGACACATTTATATTTATACCATTGAATTTTCAAGGGAATGATGCATAAATACCGGATATGCAGGGTTAAAAATAATAAACATGATCTGGTGAAGGTTGGGTTGGGGTACGGGAAATTGTTTTGACGCCTCTTCTCGGGGTGTTTGCAAGGCCGGTGATAACATGATTGATGGTTAAATACCGGAAAGAAAACACCATGTATGTTGTAAAATACCGGGTGGCATTTCAGATAAGCAATAAATAATGTTTTAAATAATGTTCAGAAGCAAATACCGGATGGCAATATACAAAGTAAAGTACTGAAGTACTGTGGTACCGGATACTGATAAAATATCGGATGGCATTATACCGGGTGGTACTTGGGAGTAGCTTTTAACGCAAAATACTGCCGACAAGAAATTCTGATAATAACTAGTTTTCTGTTCTAATATCTTTACAGTTCTCAACAAACCGACTATTATTGGTGATAAGTCTTCCCTCTCGTTCGGACCTGATAAAGAGAAGGTCGAGGTAACAGTCGGTGGCAGAGTTACTCTTTTCACTGGTTCATCGCTCACAATAAAATGTCCAGTCGTTGGAAAACCGACACCACGTGTTTGGTGGCTTAGTCAGGGCAGACCGATATCTGTTGGTAAAGCCAAGATGATCGGGAATGATTTGGTTATTGATAAGATAGACAAGATTTACTCTCTGAAATACACTTGCAACGCAAGGAATTTCCGTGGTAGTGCGAGCGCTACTACAAGCGTCAGTGTACTGGGTAAGTCAATGTTAACCGGCTGCCTCTGTATTATCATCATCATCATCATCATCA